CGGCGCGCGCGGGGCCCGGCCGCGCTGCGGGGCGCCGGGTCCGCGACCGCGGTGCGGGTGCGGAGAGGAGGTGTCGTAGGGGGGAAGAGCTCTCCAAGGCTGCTTGCTCTCCGTTGCGTTGAGTGGCCGCAAGGCCCCTTGGCCCCTTCTTGTCAGATTAACAGTGATATTGATTGTTACGCAGATTCTGTTAAGTGAAACAGACGTTATACCGTTATACCGTAACGTCGCAGATAGATAAAGATTGGCTTGTTTTTGTAACAGAGCTGAAACAGAAAGGGGGGAAGAGCTCTCCAAGGCTGCTTGCTCTCCGTTGCGTTGAGTGGCCGCAAGGCCCCTTGGCCCCTTCTTGTCAGATTAACAGTGATATTGATTGTTACGCAGATTCTGTTAAGTGAAACAGACGTTATACCGTTATACCGTAACGTCGCAGATAGATAAAGATTGGCTTGTTTTTGTAACAGAGCTGAAACAGAAACATAGTTCATGGGTTAAGCTGCACTCTTAGGGACTCGGAGGTGAAGCGTGGCCTCCCAACAAGGCCCTGCGCAAGGTTTAATACCTCTCTGCACCTGCACGCTCTGCGTCTGTACGGCCTCAGTGAACAGAGGCACCGTGTAAACCTTAACACTGCCACCTCACTTACAGACAGCTGTTTGAAATGTCATTTCTGCAAACATGGCTGTGCCAAACAGTGAAAAATGCAGTCTTATAAAAAAAATAACAGAAGTGAAGTCATCGTGGTAGCTATCATGTTGAAGTGGTTTTGCACCCATGGAAATTCGGTGTGGCTGGAGCCAAATCTGCAAGAGGGGGAGCCAATTTCAGTACAGCTTCTTGGCACGTATAAACAGGAACTTACTGTTCTTAATGTAGAAAGTATTGAAAATTGAAAATTTTGTGAAACTCCATTTTTTCATCAGACTTTACACTCGGACGTAATCCAAGAACAGAAAAGCATGACAAACTTGGCAAATTCTTGAACCTATGGTATTAATAATTAATCTTAAGATTAATTATTGTGTGAGCCCTGGAGGAAAAAAAAAAACTACCATCTGGATCGGAAAGCAGAATATAAATTATTTCTCTTGCCTATGAAAACTACAATGTGTTTGCCTCTTAAAAAAGGTAGCAGGATGGTGGTTATTCCCATTTTGTTCAGAACTGGTCATGTTTTTGCTTTTCATTAAGCAGAAGCTTAAAACCGAGCTGCTTAACTGCAATGATAAGAACTATGATAAAGTAACCTATTGAAATGAGAGCAAACTAAAACATGGTATACTGGGGAAAAAAAAAACATTTCCTTTTATAGAGAAAAGGCAAAGCTATCAGATTTTTTTTTTAAAAAAAGGGTAAGAAAGTACTTGAAAGCTACATTCAGGATTTGCTAAGCATTGAAATGCATAGCTGTATCAGATGTGATTACTTAAAATAAGTTAAAGAATACAGCCAGAATAATCATTTTGTGCATCATGCTGTAACAATTCAGCAAAACTCAAATAAGTTTTTTAATGGCATGTTGGCTTTCTTTGATGTCTAGCCTGTATTCATTCCTGAACTTATCTGTACTTATGCTCCACTATTCAGATTGAATCTGCACAGGTGGAAAGAGCTGATCCTATTCCGCAAAATCACAGCCCTGATTTAGTACGTGGCGTTGTTAGATGTGCTCTGTAGACCATGGTTTTATGTGAAATCCGAGTGGCTTTACATTGAACAAGTTCTGCAGTTTGGTCTGCCACTGTAAGGAGCTGGGGGGAACCTGAGCTCACAGGCTATTGTTCATTTTCAGCTACCTCATGAGAATGACTTAAGTGTTTTATTTGTTGTTTTGTTTTGTTTTTCTTTATCTTTTACTTTTAAATCCTAGATTTTGATCTCTACATGGGTGAGATTCTGTACTTCACTGTACTTGAATAAGATCAGTGGGGCAACAATATTTAATCTAGGTAAACAGAAATGCACTGAAGAAAGCTTAGCTGTTTGGCTATCAGTTGGCAAAACTCATATTGCCGCCTTTAGACAAAATGAGTTAGTCTGGCAAAAAGATCCCCTGCAACTGTTAGGCCACAGACTTAACTGGAGTCCTGATGCAATCGTTTGCACTGTTTGCATATCAATATATGCAACTTCTGTGTTCTCGCTAGGAGTCTGCGTCTATAAATAGATTCACAGGTTAACTATTTGCATTTACAAATAGGTCATATTTAGTAGAGCAAGGTTAATTTGCATGTTTAAGGGAGGATGTTGTCCCCTGTGTCAGTTTCTGTAATCTTGATAGTTTACATTTTCCCGCTTAGTGTGCTTCTGCAGGGTATTTTTGTCACGTGGTGTTTTCCAATTAGGCATTACCCACTGTTGAGGCTGCACTGACATGATTATTATTGTCACGTTCTTCTCCCACCCCTACAGCCCCATCTCAGTGCACGGTGTTTTTCATGCAGACCCTGTGGTTCATAAGGAACTGCAACAATAGGCTGCAGTTTCTTTGGCAGATGGTGAGATTCCGTTTAGTAATAACAAGGTGAACACCAGCCGTTTTGAAAGTTACTCTGTGACAGAATGAGGTTTAGCCTCTAATACTCTAATTTCAACACATTTCTGTAGCCATTTAAAGCTGCTTTTATGTTCGCCTTACTGTACAGTCATGCCCTCCCCTTGGCTGTCCCCCTTGGCTTAAGCCAGTTATCTGCCTTTGTGAAACTGGGTACAAATGTTACGTAGGGGTGACATATTGAATACTTTTATGCCCCAGTCGTGTTTTTATTTCCTCTTCTGTGCTTTCATGAAAGGGCAAGTGACCCATAGAAGTTTCGCTGTGTAGTCCTTCATATTTAGAAAAAGTAATCATTTTGTATTTCTTGGGTGAGCATGTAGTGGTAGGAATTTTCTCTCTGAATGTTTGTCTTTCTCTCTCTCTCTCTCTCTCTCCCTTTCTTGTGTCCCCAGCACTTCAATAACATCTGCCAAAATCCAAGTGAATGGAGTCCACCTGCATTATCAGCAGACAGGAGAAGGAAACCACGCAGTTCTTCTGCTTCCTGGCATGCTAGGTGGGGAGCTTTTGTCTTTTCTTGATAGAGCAACTACCTCTTTTGTATCCTGTCTGCTCCCGAGCTACTGTACACAAAACTATGTTATAATATGTTTAACACCTGATTATGAAGTATTATCATTAAAAGGAATGCTACACATGAAAGATAAATTAAGGCACAGTTATGGTAACCAGAAAACTGTTTTTAAAGGTTTTATGTGTCTGCCCAAGCACTTCATACCTAATCATGCTGGTTCTGAGTTTCTGTGTCCTTACACAGTCACTCATACCTTTTGGATCTGACTGTGCACAGGTGGAAAATAACTATGCAAGATACAAAGTATCAAAAAAAAAAATCAGGTGAGCTGTATTTGTGATACAGGCTGAAGGCTGCTTTCCTTTTTAGAAAGGAGATGCGTTCCAGTGGGATTAATAGTAGTAATGCAGCACCTTCAGTCTGGTCCCATAATGAAAAAGACACAGATGAGACGGGCTTTTTGATTTAAAATGTGTTTTCACATTTTGCTCATTCATGGGAATATCATTAAGATTCTCAGTGGCTTTTAGGGATGGAAAACAGATTCTGCTAGTGGTGTGATATCTGGCTGATGAGACCACTGTTTTTGATAACAACCATTTAAAATTAACCCAAGGTTTTCTTCTGGATTCTTGCAATACATTCAGCACTACACAACCACTCAAACTTGCTAGCCATTCATACCAAGATGTCAGTAGGACGTCTGCTGTTCTGAGGTAATACTATTATTATCTGTACATTGTGTTTGCTCAGTTAGCATTATTACAAACACTGATAGTTAAGGTTTAGTATCTTTACCATTATTAACCATGGCCGCAGATTTTTGGGCAACAAACCACCAACCAATAAACCACCAAATTTGTCCTCCTTCTGAATCCTAAATTTTTAATAATATTATATACTATTTACAATAATAACAGACTAACAAGTGTGCTGGTAACAAGTGCTTTTAGGTCAGTGGAATTAATCAATCTCCAGACTATTAATAGCATATAGTAAAATAAAATGATATTTTTCTTCCTAAATGGAAAAGTACTAAGTAAAGAAAATACAGCATCTGGATGTGCTTTTCATTTGTGGATTTTTTTTTAAGTTGAAAAAAATATAGCATGACAGGCATGTGCAGGGTAGTAAAGAAGCTCATATAAAGCCTGTTTAGAAATACATGATTATTATAAATCATGCTGTGTCACTGTTTTTCAAACAACCTGTTATTTTGCTGCTGACAACAGCTGTTGATTGGTGTTGCAAGGGAGAAAAGCTGCAGTCAGACTGTAGTCAGCTCATCATGGCATGCTATATAGAACCTCTTTTGTCATATGGACCAACTGATGAGATAGCAGGAGATACCTGAGGACATGATCCCCCAAGTACAAATCATAAATGGCATTAAACAGCCTTTGTGTCATAATTACACATACGCATTTTGATATTCGATTTATATCATTCAAGTGTGATATACTAGAGCTGGACATTTTTATTTGCAGTAGTATTGATACTGTTAACACATGACCATAATCCAAATGAGAAGTAAATTGTAGTCTTCTGGCCCTCATGCTAGTGTTCATAGGTAGCTCAATGCAATAGTATTTTCCATATTGGAGCAGTTCATTTTTTCATCTGTTGAAAATGTGAGTCATTCATAAAGGAAACAGTTCTGCATTAGAAAAAAAAATGCTGAATTTGATATCTATTTGGTAACTTACATATTAGAAAAAATAAGATGTTACTATTTTGTGCTTTCATGTCACCACTGTCTCCTCAGTCAATACAGCATTGAAAGTTCAATTTAAATAGCAATTGTCTTGTCGAAGTGTTTCATCAATAAGAAACTCTGTATTATACAGTGCTTCTCACCTATAGACCATAAACTTCTTAGCCAAAGTTAGGATATTCTTCTCCTTTCACTGAGAAGGAAGCAATTGTTCTAGATTGTTCAACCAAAAGTTCAAGTTTAAATCCATTCTTCAGCAATTTTCCTAACCCAAACTTTGAATATGGCCCTACTTAATGTAATTCTACACCAGTGGAATAGCTTTCCATTAAGCTACGTTTCATCTGTGCTGTCCAGATGAACAGCAATGACCATCCTGCTGCTTTATCACCGTTAAAGATAAATCCATACCCTATTTGATTCCAAGTAACTAAGTTATTGATTCTGTGTTAGAGTTTTGTTGTAGAGCAAAACAGTTAGTAAGCTTTGCAGGCCTTATAGAAATACTTTGCTTTAAGCTTATTGTAAATATTCTATAGATTTTTATTATGGTACTTCCTGGTTGAGAGCTGCAATACTCAGAGATAAAATACGTTTTCAGCTGATAGATAGCATCATTTTTTAGAATTAAGAAATAAGTTGTCCCATGTTGTATATTAAGATATAAGTTGTATGTATGCTATATATGCATGAGTGGTTACTTTAACTGAAAAAATGATGTTTCAGGAAGTGGTCAAACCGATTTTGGACCGCAGCTGAAGTCTATGAACAAGAAGCTTTTCACAATTGTTGCTTGGGATCCTCGGGGATATGGACAATCCATCCCTCCACCTCGAGACTTTCCTCCAGATTTCTTTGAGAGGGATGCAAAAGATGCTGTAGATCTTATGCAGGTAAATTAATTTTGAGATTTTATTATTAACATATATATTTCTAAAACCCATTTTTCTTCGAACTTCGAAGAGAAGGGAACAGTACTGTTAAGTATATAACCCCCAGTAAACAGCAGTTACACAGAAGAACATACAAATGAGAGCTTAAAAACTGTTCTGGAAAATATTTTCATTGTCCAATAAACAAAAATTCAACAGTGAGAACCAGTTATAAAGCAATACATTTTGACTCCAAAATACTTTTTCCTAAATGGTTTGCAATGAGGAGCCATGTAAAGTGTAGGCAAAGCATGTATGAACAACCAAAGCCTATGCTAAGTGGCTTAACTGCAGGGATTACAGTGGTGAAGCCTTCTTAAAAAAATTCTAGCTAATGGAGTCTTGGCAATAGAGCAGCCCATTTCATCTGAAACATTGATCTGGAAACTAAGCTGACACTTTGAGCTTTAAGGCCTATTACCAAAATAACTTGTGTAGGAAATCAAAGAATTCCTGTAATTGTACCAGATCTTAATAACTAAAACAACTCTTGTTATTATGAAGAATATGATCTTAAGTTGTCATTGTCTTTCCTTTTAGAGATTCTACAATTCAAATCTGTGTTCTTTTGTCTGATTTTTATAATCATTAGTTTTAACCAATACTTTGCTCTATTATGTTACACTATACAGTTTCTTTGGCCATGTTAAGAAAGTTGGCAGAGCATTAAAATTCCAGAAATATGAGACAAGATTCAGACAGTGAATCCAACTGTGTTTCTGAAATGAGCAGTAACCTTGTAGAACCATTTGAAATAATTGAAAATGCAGCCTTCCTGGAGTATTCTGCATAGTGAAACAAAATAAGTCTGACAGCTATCAGGATAAAGATGCTGTTTTGCTCTCTAACCATGAAAATAGTCTCCTGAATCACCAATTTATTCTGCTATAGTAATACAGAAAATAAACATGCTGCCAAGAAGAGGTGACAAAATTTCAGTCTAAAAAACTGTAACCCTTTTTCTGCTTCTCTTCAAATACTAAAGAATGCAGACAAGAAACCAAAGCCATTCCCAAAAAGATGAAGCTGTGTAGTCTGCAAACAGACAGGTCAGCAGCTTATTAATGTTAAAAAGTTGCCAAAACAAATTAGTAGATTTATTTGCAGCAAAATTATATGTAACTGCATCCTTTTTTAAGAAGATTATTGATACAGATGTATAATAACAAATTACTTGAATCTTTCCAAGCAAGGGTAGCTTGTAGTCATGGGTAACTTGCTTCTATTTTAGCCTGAAATACAAAGGTGCAAAACCGAGGGAATGAATACATCTAGGATTTCCAGAATAAAACGAAGTCTTAACTCCTGTGATGTTGTGCCCCAGCTATTCTAAAGCAGAGGGCATTACAGTAGTGTGTTGGTTTACACAGCCTGCACCACTAAGCCCATCCGTATAGGTGAGCTTTCAGAACCTTCCTTGAGGCTCTTCTGGGCTTTGGCCTCTTTGTTGGAGCTGTGACTGCTGGAAGCTTCTGTGAAATAATGAAAGCTAAAATTCTGCAGAGTATTTAGCAGGTTGATACAGATGTCAGGGCTCTGCATCACTGTATGTGTTCTGTGATAGAGTCAACTTGAAACTGCAGCAGCAAAATACAAATAGTGAATTCGGTTGGAAAAAAAAAAGTAAATGTTTTAAGTCTGCTTGGCCACACTCCATCCCCATGTCTCAACATTAAAAAAGGTCAATAGCATTAAAATGCTCATTATGGAGGTAATTAGTGTTGACATGTAAGATGTTCTTGCTGTTCAGACCTATTGCCCCACTGAAAGGATGGGCTTCTTCCTCTCCAATTTTTTTGGAGATCAATTGCAGCCATTATATGTGGTTCACCTCCTCTGAGCCAATGGAAATTCATAGTACAGAGCGCTGTTGTATTACAGCTCAAGGCTGTAAATTATTTTTTTTTTTTTTTGTGAGAGCACACATGATCATTTGATTGCATTTCACAGAGGCTTGGATGGAAGAAGTGATTTCAAAAAGAGTTTTGTTCATTTACAGAGTAGGGCCAGCAGAAGTTTACCTGCAAAATTAGGAGCTGTAATCAGTTCTTGGGTTGTTGCCAATGTTAGGCACAGACCTGTACTGTGAATAGTTCAAGATTAGAGCAAACAAATAAGGATGTTCACCACATCTAACACATTTGTTACATCTCATTGTTTTTTGGAAGGCCAAAGAGAATAACTAAAATTGTTCCCACTGAAAAGGCGTACTGAGACAACTGAAAGAATTCATTGAGATAATGGCTAGCAAACTAGAGAAGCAACTGGAAGCAAACAGATTTCAGCTGAAGGGTTAGGCAAAAATTTTAATAGATTATTCTGCCCATTAGCCAGCGTTGAATTCCATAATTTGCTTTTGGCATTTGGAAAACAGCAGCAGCAACAACAACAAAATCCTAAGTTTTACAAGAGTGGCTGCCAACTCCTGCAGCTTGCAGAGATACCAGTAACCTTTCAAGGGCCATAGACTGAAAGGTGGTTGCAGGGGACTGCTTTTTCAGCAGGCCAGGGCCAATCTGTGATCTTCTAAAACTCAAGGTGCTTTTTCTTGCTGTCAGGTCTGTCCTTGTATGTCCTTTTCTTTTTCCTACTCTTTTTTTCCCCCTGTGTGCTAATTACAGCTTATCTCATAAAATCTATTTTTGAGCAAAGTTAGAGCAAGCCTAGTATTAAGGAAAAAAAAAAAGGAGAAAACCTGATAGTGGTACTAGTTTGCCAAGTTTCTACTTGACTGATAAGGCTATTTCTCACTCGAGCATCAAGTTTACAAGCAGGGCTCAGCTCCTAGAAACTGCTCTTTATCTCTCTGCAGTTCTTCTCTTTCTCATTTCCTGTGTTTTTTTTTCTTTTCTTTTTTTTTTTTTTTGGCCTTCTGAATGAAGAAAACAAGACTGAGTCCAGCAATAGAACAGCAAGGAACAATTCAACTAAATCAATTAACTGTTTCTCTTTTTCTTCCAAAAGCACAATATCTCCCTTTAATCTCATCTCAAAGGATATAATCTCTGCCTCTAAAAAAAAAAATCACTGAAACCTTCTTACTGTAGCTGTTTGTTAGAGAAGTCAGAAACCAAGGCTTGTGTCTGGCAGCCTGTAAGAACTGTTCAGCTACTAAAGGTTGTCTGTGTGCAGCCTTCAGGCTTTTGCATCTGAGTCACTTTTGCTTCCTCACCCTCTGCCCACTGAACACCACATATGCAAATTCCTCTCCCTGTCACTGCTGTTACCCGCTACAGCAGCTTTTTGTGTATGAGAAAACAAATTATCGTGGAAAGCAGTGTGAATGAAGTGAGAATGAATGGAGGTCTCGGTGACCATATTTTTTTGCTCACAGCATTCCTTTCTGGAGAAGGATATATTTCAGTATCAATATTCTGAACTGCAATTAACCATGAAGTGACATTTAAAGTGTACAGTTATAAGTTAGGAAGCAAGAATGAGCACATGTTAAGTAGGCCCTAAAATTTGAAACAATCACATAGAAAATGTGTTAGTATTTTGAAGGGATTTATATTTTCTAATTATGAAAACTATTTATAATTCTTTTTTTTAGTGTTGTATTTGAATCTCTACAGACAGTTTTCAAGAAATATTTGATATTTGTTGATAAAATAGCTAATGATTTGCATGTAACTTTCTTATACCAATCAAGGCACTCAAATTTAAGAAGTTCTCTTTGCTGGGATGGAGTGATGGTGGCATTACAGCACTGATTGCAGCTGCAAAGTATCCAGCTCTTATCCACAAGCTGGTGGTTTGGGGAGCAAATGCCAGTGTTACTCAAGAGGATGTGAGAATTTATAATGGTATGTACAAATTTAGAAGAAAATCATATTATTGAAGAAGGGTGTTCGTTTCATCTTGATCTGAGGATCTTAGTCATCTTAAGGCTCAGTGGAAACAGAGTTGAGGACATAACAAAAACAAAAGAAGTAACAGAGCACAAAATTCACCATGTTGCTAAGAACAAGGATAGTTTAAAGCTCTAGTAAAAAGCTTTCTAACAATTACTCCAGAGCTAATATAGTAGGATTAAAAAAATAACAAACTGCTTAACAAAGACTGTTAAAGCATAAAGTACAAATAGTTCATCAGTGGTTTTTAGTGAAAAAAAAAATGTTACTGTAATAAATTCCAATAAATAAATTCCAAATAAAGCAATCAACTCCAGGCTTGATTTTTTTTCTCAGCTCTTGCGCAACCTTTAGAGAAGGTCCACAGAAAATTACTGGGCTAATATATAACTCCTTTGCCTCTAGGGGCTATATAATACACAGTGTAAGAAAACAAGCTCATAATTTACCATTTGAGCTCAGGAAGCAAATGAATCATTCAAGTAAACATCCCAGGATCCCTTTATAATTTGCATTCCTTTGAAGCTCATTATCGTAATTACAAAACCTTTGAAAAATGAAGAAGCGTGAAATTTCTGACCCCTTTTCCACTGATGCGAAACAGAATCTGACCATTTGTCCCTCTGAAGAAAAACAGCAAAAAACAGTAAGGTGTTCAGAAATGACCTTCTTCTTGCATTAAAAGTTAAAAGAGTTAGTAATACAGATTTTCAGCAAATGTAACCAAGCATAGTTTAATTTAAGCAACCGGAGTGTGATTTGTAGCAGCTGTGGAATCTTGCCTGGCTTCAGCTAAAATACAAGTGTAAATATTGCACATGTGCAGTTCCCTCATCTGCATTATAGCATTTTTTATGAAGGTGGTAGTGATTATTACTATTGTTATTACTCTTTAAATACAGTAAACAAAATGCTTACAAGATGTATAAAAGTGCTAAATTATTTCTTTACATGCTTTTGTATATATGGAGTTTTTATTACATAACAATTATGAAATGTGTGTATCAACTTCTGCTAACAAACTGAAATGTCAAAAAAAAAAGCCTTACTTTGTAAGGGCTATAGTTAGTGCCTGCAAGAATGATCATCTTAGGCTGCTTAGGGGAGAAAGATGTTTCTTTGCTATCTGTGCCCTTTCTGCGTTGGGCCTTCTTTCCCTGTTCAATGTGGAGTAAGACTAGCTGCAAAGGTAGCATGTGGATGCCGGAAGGGAAAGGGCTGCACAGTAACAAGCTGACCAGGAATGACCAGACTTGTTTGTTTGCCAGAGGTTACCCAACAGAGGCTGCTCTAAAACAGCCCTTTCATTCACCACTGCCTCGCTCGCTGGACCAGACAGGTTCTGTTTCATGCAAGCTAATTAATTCCTCACTCCTCTCTTTCCTTGCTCTCCATTTGAAACCAATTAAAAACTCTGCTAGCTGTAGACATTGCTGTTTGATGATTCAGTGCTTTTCAGTCTCTTTTCACCTTCTCTGCTCTGCCAGAGTTACTTGGAGGTTTATTGATTCAAGGCCATACAAGTGCAATATAGTTTTGTGACCCTTATGGGTATCTCCTCGACTGTGAGTGTTGCTCAAAGTTTGAGAGGGGGAAATAGATAAGCCTGATAAATAAAGCAGAATGTCAGATTATTTGTACAGCTTTAGCCATCGTGCCATGAGTCACAGGGCTCTGCTAAGTACACTTGCTTATTTTCCTCCTAGACTATGGCAAATGTGCCATGATGTCAGCCTGCTGGAATGCCTTAGTAAGAGCTTCCTTCCTCTGAATACCGGTAGGAACCATAGGAGAACTTCCATCCATGAGCCAAAGCAAAAGGCTGTAGGATATAAAAAAAGGATTGCCAATTCTGGGAAAATGTTTCAAAAATTTTTTTTTTTTTCATAAGGAAAGTACCTCCTTGAGTTCTTCTTGTTGTAAGGCCTCCATAAAGAAACAACAGAAGTCATGGGCTTGGGCCTTTGATACTTTTTTTAACTCCTCATGACCATAGTAACAAGGTAGTCTTTTGCAAAAAGACTTAGCAGAGATACTTAAAACCCTTTTTTTTACACCTTTTTTTTTAACATCACCTCCCTTACTCAGAGTTAGCTGTTGAATGTAAATTCAACTTTGAAACATGTATCTTCAGGCAGATTTGAAAATTTACTCATATTTATTAGGAGCTTACGGTACTGTGTAAGCATATCTGGTTGCTGGAAATATCTTAACATATTTCAATGTTATTTTTTATAGGCATCCGAGATGTTTCAAAGTGGAGTGAAAAGGTTAAGAAACCACTGGAAGAGATGTATGGACATAAATACTTTGCAAAAACTTGTGAAGCTTGGGTAGATGGAATATCTCGCTTTGCCGAAAAATCAGATGGTAAGACAGACTTTTACAGAGATAAACGGGAAAAAAATACGATAGCAGACAGATCTGGGTAAAAATCTCTCTAACAGTACTCCTAGCAAGCAGAAAAGGAAGACCTCTGCATATGGCATTGGAAGTATTAAAAACTGTGTCTGACTCACACTCATGAGTAAAGCAATTAATTTGTAAATGCTTCACAGAACCAGCAGGGTACAGGAGGAAAACACATTTATGGAAGGCTTTAGCTGGAGAGACTCACCCCTTACTCCACCACTAAAGTACATTATTAAATCATCACTTTTATGCACCCTGAACAGGAGTGATTCTGCCTAAGCTTATTTTTCCCTCTCCTCTGAGTGGCAGGGGTAACTGCTTGGTAACGTTGTTAAGGTATCCCAGAAGCAAAGTGTGTTCATTTCTGCAAGCAGGAACCTAAGCACTATTTCAAAATGAATATAGTGTAGTGAGTACAAAAAGAAGGAAGTTCAATTTCAGGGAACTCGATTACAAAATATATTTTAAAAATCCTCTTGCTATAGCTTAGGTATTTAAAATACAAAAAGAGGAACTAAGCTGTATAATATAATCATAATTTAATGCTTATCACTGCAGATTTCTGCAACTTCTGCAATAGATCTCTTCAACCAAAGATATCATGAATAATAATCTGCAGATCTGTTTTAATGCAGAGGAAAATTGCTTTTCATTTTCCTGAAATAGAAATGCATATTGCATAAACGAAAGAGTCTATAATTCTCTTATGTATATTTTCCATAGCTGTCATAATGAAAGATGAGAAGTGACATTTATTAAATGGCAGCAGGCACTACTGAAAAAAAAATATATTTCTCCGTGTATTTTTCCATATAGATTTCAAAGGACCAGCAACAGGGTAGTAGAATTTTTCCCAGTAGAGAAATGTAACAATTTATGATGTTATTTTATTGTATACTTTCTAGAATGCATCCCCTTAAAACTAGTTTATTCTTAGGTCCAAAGGCCACTGACTGTCACATCCTTTTACTGTCTGCATCTCTCTCTGACACTGAGATGAAGTGACTTTGCGAAAAAGACAACACATGGAGAAATGTAACAAGGAGCTGAATTACCCAGATGCTGTAACTGGGTCAGATATTGAGAGAAGACTAACATTTGCTGCAAAAAAATATTAGCAACCATCAGTCCCCGTTTTTTTTCTCAGGACTACTTGGGGAAGGCAATTTAGAATTTAAGTCATGCCACAGAAAAGGTTATGAATTGTGAACACAGAAGAAAAGGGTTTAATAAAAATCATCAAATTAGAAAACTAAATAGTTAAGAGGAAGATAACAAAACCTTTGTTTCTTGAAAACATCATCATCAAATTCTTCTTAAGAAATAGACTTCTTGCCCTAAGCGGAACAGCTTTCAGTGTGAGCTGCTCGAAGAAATAAACACTAAGAGAATGTCAGCATTTAATGAAACTGAACATGCTGCTTAAAGCTGCAAAATTCAAGACTTTCTTGAAAGGCTCTCTTACTGGAGTAAGCAGTACCCAGTGATTATAGTACAAAACAGGTTCATTTCTAATTTGACTGCTAACTGTGGCTTTAGGTAAAAAAGTTACTTGTTATTTAGGGTGAAATTTAATCAACATTTGTGCAGGGTTTTGAAGCTTATGGACAAAGCATTCAAAAAGAAAACAATTAATGGACAGAACTGCAAACTGGGACACAATCCCTAGCCAAATGACTGGAGAGCTCTGTAAAAGAGTGACTGACTTACTTAAGAACTAAGGAACGTATGCATATATAAGCTTTAACTGCGCTGGTAACTGTAAGGAAACATTTACAAATAGAACATAAGGCTAACTCAAAGTGAAACTTAAAACTCATTCAGTAGGTTTTGCCGGTAAGTTCTCTTAGGAGAGTATGGAAAGTTGGCCAAAGAGTATGGAAACTGGGATACTAAATGATGAGAAAAAAAAAAGGGTAGGGGGATAAAAAGCTTTTAAGGAAAAGCATTAAAATTAGTTCCACTGAGATTAAAGACTGGTAGGCATAAAATTATTCTCAACGTTCTGTAAAAGGAACAGTTAGGAAGAATAATTTTGAATACTTTTTGGATAATTCGTATTAAATGGTTATACATTACAGGCAACAAAGAACTTACTTGGAAGTAGAACAGCCATCATAGCAAGTTAACTTGTTGGGAAAAGTAACAAATCGTATAACTTGATGCCTGATAACCAGTGTAACAAAGTAGGACATAAACCATGGAGACCATAAGACTCTAAGAACAGGGAAGCGATGCATATATTTGCTTGGAATTTACAGTGTCAACCTCGGGAAAAATGTGGGCCTGAAATGCTTCATCCACTGTATCCATCTAAGTATCCATTACTGAAGCAATTTCAGGGACATACTGGCATGTTTGGAAGAAAGAAATGTTACAGTCATAGTTACATAATTCTCTAGAATATCTGTTCATTAGTCACAAGGAGAGCTAATGGCTTGAACCATGTTGGAGTTCACAATCATTGCAGAATCAGTTTCAGTCTTTCATACTATTTAAAACTAAACTGTGACCTTCATTTATTTTCTCCCTAGGTAATATCTGTCAAGAGTTGCTGCCTCTCATTAAATGTCCCACATTTATAATTCATGGTGGGAAGGACCCTTTGGTTCCGCGTGCCCATGCAGAATACATCCATGAGAACATCAAAGGCTCTCGGTGAGTTATGTGTCATTGCTTATCTACAAAGCACAACTAAAGGAGGGAATAAGTAAGTGGGTGCCAGACTATTAAAAAAAAAAGAAAAAAGATTGGGCAAGCTCTTTCTGCCATAGAGAGAACTGTTATGAAGTCCCTTAGTAAGTTACATTGAGAAAAACAGTCCCTTTCTTATGCTACAAACAGCATTACTACTTTCATAAGCTCCCTCCACATGCTCTCCAAAACAACCCAAGTGAGGTCCTTCGCCCCCTTCCACCTGTTCACAGAAACATTCCTTAACGTTTGGCCGAACAAGCAAATTCTCCATCATGGCTATTGCACTCCTTTTGTTACATGGTGTCTAATTTCTCCCGTCTACTAGCACATAGAATTTAGCTGCTGTGAATGGAGCAGCATTCCCAGTTTTTAAGAGAGAAGTACAGGGTACTGAAATTTTGAACAATGGCAGCAAAGACTGAGGACTTTTTTTGTGAATTTAAAACAAAATCATGTGAGAAAAATAATACAATGATGCTCAGAGATATTTCTCCCAACTTGAAAACCAAGAAATGTCTTCCAAGAAATATCTTGTAGCAGCATCTGCTCCATTTGAGAACTTCATAAATACCACCTATAAAAATCTGGGACTTCAACAGCTGATTTTTTTCATAGATTTGAACACAAATCCAAGATTTCACACTGGATAGCACTGGAGAAAAGATACAGAAGGATAGAGTCCATTTTTATGAGTGCAGAGTGAAGGAAGTTGTTCTATTGGTATAACCTCTCTAAAATGTGAGGTATTTATTTACTTCAAAGTCATCTCCTCTGTTCACAAAAACACCTTCTGCCACAGGAGACACAAGCACAAGAGGGCTTCCTAGCAGCTCCAGGCAGGTATTTTTCTAACGCCTGCTAGTTAGGTTTCTCCCACCTTGCCTGCTGAGGACACCGAGCATCTTGTTAGTGTTCCCTGAGCTCCAAAGTGCTCCAGTTACTGAGCTCTGAAGGCAAGTCATCACAATCTTTGTGTAGACAAGGATCTGCAAGTTTTTCTTTGGAAAACAAGCTGAGAAGAAAGCAGCATTAGAAGTTGCCACGCAAAAAAAAAAAAAAAAAGCCCGAACTTTCCATGTCTTCATGCTGAAGTACTTTCCTCTTACGTGAATCTATCAGAAAATAAATCAGGCTAGCAATGATGTTTTGGAAAATTATACATAGCTTAATACTTAACCATGTGCTCCCCTTCTCTTGTTATACTGGCGCTGAGGTTCTCCTTTGAGCAGGAGAAAGAAAACTTTAAATTTAGCATATGTTTAGCAACAAATTAGATGCAGATTTATTTTCTAATATTAAAATAGAAGGTTGTGTTGACTGGAGCACAAATACACTGCTTGTTTCTGTCATGATAAGGGAATTGCCATCATTTTATGTTTGTATGGTGTAGATATACTTGAATACTATCAGAGTGGCTTAACAGACAGCTGAGGACCATCTGCAGCACTGTTGGCTTGTGCATCTACGTTCTGCTGGCTCTCTCTGAAGAGACAAATTTAATGAACATCAGAGAGGGGCACTAGAGAAAGTGCAAATGTTGGCAGAGCACAGTTCCTTCTCCTCCCCCGCCCCGAAAAAACAACTTTTATCATCACTAATAGAAATCTTCTGAAATTTGAAGGGGAAAAAATGCTGTAGTAGAAATTAAATGATAGTAAGGCAACACAGGATAATGTAAGTTACAGTTGTCTATTGAAAATCTACAGCAGTTGACAGACCAAAGTCATTCCCCAACCTTGTAGAGGGGAAAGAAAAAATAAGTGTTAGGAGTAATACCCACAGCATATATGTATTGTTTTTTTCCTGAGATAGGAAAAAATGACAAATTGTCTTTTCTCCTTACTGCAATCATATCAGTATGGTTAGTCTGGAGAGGTCAGCTTTGTACATATTACTTCTAAACACTTGTTAGAATTCTTGGTTCTTTTTTCTTAACAGAGTAACAGATGGTTGTGTCTTTAAGAGTGAAAGAGAAGAACATGTTGAAACAAAAGTCAAATTGTAATTTACTTTGGATAGTGACACAAATTACCAATATTTTTGTAATTATTGCTTTGCACACTGTCCAGCACAACTGCAGTTCTCTGAAAGAGGCAAGATAGCTCAGCACTTCACATTTCTTCAAAAGAGACAGTCTGCTCACCTGAAAGCCAAAATATCTTGCTTGCAGATAACCAAAAAAAGATTCTAGAAAACAAGTCTAGGACAGATCATAATTTAAGATTTAAATATTCTCCCCACTCTGGAACAGGGTGCTTGTGGTTATCTATTGTTTAGTTCACAGCCTAAGGTATGACCTTCCAACAAATATGCTGGGATACTACCAAGTTCCTTTATTTCTGTACCTGGTTACACAAGAGCAAGTAAAAATTGCAACCAGTTTGATTACCTACGCTCACGGAATGTAGCTCATCTTCAGAGTCTGATTTTTGTCTTTTAAGGTTGCTTCTGATGCCAGAAGGAAAGCATAATCTACACCTGCGCTTCGCAGATGAATTCAACAGACAAGTAGAAGAATTCTTAGGATGATCTGAACTGTAAAATAAGATATGTAAGAGGTGGCTTGCCTTTTCCTGTTTAGCCATTTTACTTGTTTTTCCATTTTGTTTCAAGTTAGATAGGTCTAAGTCCAAAAGCAAAGGTAAACTTTGCATAAGCAAACTGAGAGTGCATTGAGTTTGTGGAGCATAGACCTTGCATGCCTAAAGTAGGAATTTCAGAACATAAGAAGAGACAGTAAGCCGCAGTGGATCATGACACTGCTGTGATGCAGGATTTCTGACATGCCTTTAAGCTTATTTCACGTCACATTAATCAAATGCCTTCTAGTGATTCAACTGAGATGTTAAAAAAAAGACATAAAACCGTCTAGAATACATGCCTTTATGTGATCTTAACATTAAAGGACAAAAACACATTGTAATAACTTGAATTCAGATCTGTTACAATAAGAATTCTTTCAAAGTTACAAGTGCTGAGAGGACAACCAGGTACATGGCAATTAGAGAACATGCTTCACCACCACCACTACCACCACCAGAAGTCATTCAGTACACATGCGTGCTTTACAGAGTTCACAGAACAAGATACTTAAGCCTCATCCTCCTCTCCTTCCTCTTCA